AGCAAAATTTCCAAAGTAGTTTCACAATGGTCGATGGTAGACAACAATCAAACCGCTGCAAAGTGGCAAGGTGGTAGAGGAGAACGATTTCGTGTTCCGCATATGCATCGTAACAGTGATAGCTTCGCCTTCACGATAAAATTTACACAGGCATCTACAGAAATCATGCAAAGAATAGGCAGAGCAGAAGGCTGCAACAGATCACAATGGATTTCTTCCTGACCGCGGCAAGTCGAGGATATCGTTACAATCCGCGAAGCCTGCAAAAAATGCCGGGAGTATAGGACAGACGTTCATATCTGCTTCATCAGCCTGAAAAGGCATGACAGGACACCTCACTCGAAACGATGGTAAGCTTAGTAGGAATATGGGGTGGATCGTTAAATACTGTGGATGCATCAAGGCCATACTCGACTGCTTAGATGTCTGTGATCGGGATAACGGCAGGATAGAAATGCCTTATAGAATTCATGTGACTCTCAAGACTGTGTTCCGTTTACCCATGATTTCCTAATCTACAGGAACTAGATTAGCAGATGCAGCACAAGTCCCGAGTTTGGGGATGTTCGTCTGATGCACCCGCTGTTTAAAGATGGTCGCGTCGTGTTTGCTTCATGTCGAACTAGCTTCAAACGAGCCCCTAAACGGTTCACCGCCGCATGTAATAAGACCTGACCAAAACAGACCTTTTCACTGTCATGAATGGTCACAAAATTCAGTCAGTTCAATGTGCAAATAAAATGTAACAGGAAATCTGAAATATTTCTGGGTAATATTGATGATAAACGGCAACAGGACGTGAAAACGGCACACACGTCGCTTAAGAACGCCCAGTAATGAAAAAACTAAACAAATTTATGATAATGAAAATCGAGTTCAGCAGTAATGAGAATGTTTGTTTTCAATTCCATCCATGCGCCTACCTTTACATGTGATCATGAAAGAAGGACGTTAACTAAAAGAATTCGATAGTTGGAAATGAAATGGAGGAATCGAGGTTTCTTTCAAGGACCGCTGCAGTGATTACCGTCGGAAAGCATCAGTTGCGGCAATTCGAGACATTCTAACTTGTGAGCCACTCGATGTCTAATTCTAAAGATTACAGGAGCGACTGGTCGAACAGTTGCAAGAATGCTCGAAGAGATTCGTTGAGCGGCTAAAAGGGCTCAGAACATACAAAAATGAAGGACAAACTCAGAACATTCGTCGAAAATTTTAGCTGCCCATCGTCCGACCTGTCCGGAATACAGACATCAGGGAGAGCTTTGGTGTACGGCCTCCGCTTCTGCAGACTGAGTAGTCATAGCTGCAATAGACTGGGCATGCGTTGCGAATGCCTCCAGAAAGGAAGGCGAAGCAACCATTTCTTTCCGAACCGACCGGCAG